GRTATTCAGAACTAATCACTCTTGAAGCCAAGCATGCACTAACAAACTTAATCAATACATATCATTTATTTAGTGAAGCAATGAGAACAACTTGTTACAGAATAGCACAATCCAAACAAAAACTGTGGATTATTTAAAGGTTTGTATATAGGCCCTGTCACACTAGACAATTTATAAACATTTTAAAGACATCTGCWTTTAAGATGGAATTGAAAAAAATCAACAGGAAGCTATTTTTCGGTGTGTACATAAGGTGATTCAAACAAATTGATCAAATATATACTGTAACTTTTATTACCAATTTAGACATAAACATGTTTCATAAGTTGCCATGAATTGTCTAGTTTGACAGGACCTTAAGGGAAGTGAAACCAGCTTCTTTCAAGTAAGTGTTTTATTTTTTTATTTTTTATTTTTTGAGTTTATCCACATGGTGAACTCCAACATAAATATCAAAAAATTTGCACTGCATGAAAACTATAGTAACAAAAGGTTAAATAAAAATGATAACATAATATGCTTAATTTACATTTGTCTTCATATCACTGGTTGTCAGTTTGTCCTGAAAAAAAAGTAAGCAGAATTTGTGACAATTTTAAGCACTTGTTTGTTTACTTACTGTGTGCAATAAGGCTTTGGTAAACTTGACAAGAACATCATGACAAAGAGATTTATGTAGAGGAAAAAAATACATTTTAAATTGTGTCTTAAGATGTGAAGTACCAGGTGCAAAGAATAAGCTGCATACTTCCTAACTTTGAAGATTTTTTTTAAGAACAGCAGATAAGAATATGTGCTCAGTAAAGGCTRTTTTCCTGCCCTAAAATGAAACTGATTTAAATTTGTGATAAGCTTACTTGTATCCCCATATCTCTTTAAGTGTGATTATATCAACCAACCTTTCTACTTCAAGATGGGTCAGCGCATCAACACTGTGGTATTAAATATATTTGATGTGGTCAGCAAAAAAAATGACATTTTACCACCTTGTATTTAACAAATAAACAAACTTGCTTAGGTGCTTAAACAGAAAACAGAAAAAAAATCATAAGGTTTATCATAGATGAATTAAATTTGGTGCAGAGATGCTTTTATCTATTTATTTCTTTTTATTGCTTGCTCCACAGAACAGTGTGTGACGAGGAATTGGTTATCAAGCCTACAAGGAGCTTTTATGGGGTATTGTTTCAGAGAATGGCTTCCCAGAAGCTGCTTTGTGTTTGACATACAACAGACACCAGAAGCAGATGAAAGAATCAGGGATATTGGGACATTACATCAGAGACTTACATCAATATTTCCTTATTTGCACTTTTTCTGTTTTACTAGCCTATAAAATAACCACTCTCACTGACTGGAGGTGTCTTTTTGTGCAACRTGAATGAAAAGTTCCACTTTTTATACCAAGCATTAATCTTCTTTTATGACATATTTTGTCCTTCACTTATTAAAAATTACGCAACAAAACTTATAACTTTTTTTAGGTGTACTGCTCTTTGTTGTTGGTGTAGAGTTTGTGTTTAATTGGGTATAAATCTCCATTAACAATACAACAACAGCAATTCATTTTGATTGCAATCTAAATGTTGCTCAAGATGTTAATTGCTTCAGAGATGAAAATAATGTCTCTGTCTTCACTCAATGCAGATTTAGTAAGAAAATCGCAGCATTGAACTAAGATTATACTAATGATGACATTTAACCTGAAAACTGCCTGTTTAATTTTTAATAGGGAGACTTCTTTTTAACCACTTAATGTTGATTATTATGCATATTATAACAGCATCTTGATTCGATATTGACAGCTATACCAAGCAGTCATGCATCTAAACACATTTTGAATTCAAAAATTATTCTTGATTTCAGTCCTAAAATCAGTGTTGTATAAAGAGATACTTGAGTAAAAGTACAAGTATCTTACCATAAAATTACTTTTGGTAAAATGTCTTGAATTATCTGATATTTTCGTACTGAAGTACCACAAATAAATTTCTGACATAACATGTACTTAAGTTTTTAAAGTAAAAGTACTGTGTAAAAATGAGCAGTTAGATTTTCCATAATGACATTTATTGGGAGATAACCCCGCCCACTCAAATTTTTTTTTCTAAAGGATGAAAAGACTATGTCCTATTAAAAATATTCAAGTAAAAAAGAAAAAAATAGGATATGTCTTTGTACTATACTGCACATGTCTGATATGTCCTGTATTGAGTGGGACRTGATTTGTGTCACATGCAGCTGTGATGGATTGTGTACAATGAATGGTTTATAATTGTACTTCTCCTTCTACCACAATTAAATTCACTCTATCCAGGATATTATTTATTTATACAATAACAAAAATTAAACAAGCAAAAATGAAATAGAAGTAATTACTTTCTACTTCTTGCCTTTTTAAAAACAAATAAGGTGTAGAAAAATAATTGTGTAAAAATGTAAGAAGTAGAAGTAAAAAGTAGTCTGAAAGATCCTGATGCATCTCAGTAATCCAGGTAAAACAAAGCAGCCACTGTTCAAAAGAATGTCCCAACACAGACGAGCTACATCTAATGGCCAGAACTCTGCAGTTTTCACTCATTTACAGGCCAGCGGTCACTCTTTCAGAGATGAGGATGTTCTCATTCTTGATAGAGAGGAACGTTGGTTTGAGAGAGGAGTAAAAGAAGCCATTTTTGTGAAGAAAGACCGTCCATCATTAAACAGAGGTGGAGGCCTCCGTTTTCAGTTGTCCCCCTCCTGCAGTGCTGCTATTGCCAGTATGACTCCACCCCTTGTTAACAATAGGTGTTAATTAGGTGTCAACGATAGCCATGTGATGTGAGTATCAGTCACATGGAGGCAGKGCTTAAAAGCCTGAATTTTGCCTGAAACTCTCAGACTGAAGAAGTCTCTTGGAGGAGAGACGAAACGTTTCATTAGAGAAGAACCCGTCCAGAAGACCTATACAATTTTTTTCTGTTTTAGTCTGAAAGTTAATTACTCAAGTAAAGTACAGATGACCAAATTTTCTACAAAGTCTTTGTACTTAGTTACCTTACAACTCTTCATAAAATAACCTTCAAAACTTTTGTAATGTCTGTWGGGTTGTCTGTGGTGCAGCTACCAGTTGTGACATGTCCACAGAGCACTAAAGCCACCTGACGTGCCACTGATTCCTCTTTTGATTGTACARTCAGACTGTTGAAAAGGACTGTTTACAGTATGTGCAGGGAAGATGAATGTCTCTGTTGTATGAGGTCAACTGTGAGACAAAATATAGTAAAAGTTTTAGTTGGCCTTTTCAAATATGTTGTTTGTTTGTGAAAGAATCTTGTRCAAAACCTAAGCTGGCTCCCAACTCCAATGATGGGCTCAAAAGACCCAAACAAATGGCTAAACGAGTCGCTTTCAGGACCAAAGAGGGAACAGATCCCTTCAATTTTGAACTTTCAAGAGTTCATTTTCCTTGGTAAATAACAGCCTTAATGACTTGGATTCCATATTGTGTTTTCTAGCATCATTTATTAATATTTTCTCCATACAGTAGCTGCAGCAACTAATGTGATATTGTTCCTTGCTCTCTGTATTTACACTGAAAAACAGTTAGGTGTATGTTTCTAAAGTTGTAATAACACGATGGTAGATACCGTACCCCAAATTCTTGCAGCCATAATAGTAAGATGGTGACTCGTTTTCATTGGCACTGCTGCACACAAGAACAATAGAATTAGTTAGACCAGTGTTTCCCAAAGTTGGGGTCGGGACCCAAGGTGGAGTCCCGAAACATCAAGGTGGGGTCCTGAAAAGATTTTCTGAATTAATTACATTTTTGCCTTWGTTGTTACAAAGGAGTGAGGTTAGTGTATTTAAAATGGATAAATGTAATATAAAAAATATTATTACTATGCCCATGTTTAGTTGACCWGATACAAATGTTTATCATCCAAAAATAACTGGGGGCACAGGTCTCTGCTACTGTTATTTTGTGGGTCAAAAGCTGAAAAGTTTGGGAACCACTGCACTTTGGTTCCCAAAGTTGGGCTTGGAACCCAATTATGGGTCATGAAGCACCTTGGATAATCTCCAGAAATCGATTTAAAGGGTAATAAAACAATTGCTGATGTAATATTTTCCCCATAATTATTACAAAACACAAAATAAATATAAATAAGTATTTAAATTTGTTAGAAGCTGTTTAGATTGTCACAATACCTGTGTTTTTAGGGTTATTAWTGAAGTTTGTGTACTCAGACCAGTAATATTTGGGGTCACAAGTTTTTGCTATGGGTATTTTGTGGGTCAGAAGATGAAAAGTTTGGGAACCATTGAGTTAGACAGACAAGACACTTTCCAGCATATATAACATTGAATAAAGTCTTGGATTTAATATAATATTTTATGTGTTGTGTAAAATGTGACTAAGCTAAARTTAAATATTTCATGTGGACAGATTTTAATGACACTCTTGAAAAAGTAGCAAATGGGAGTAGATGGCTGCTAAAGTTACGTGAAAGTAGCAAATGCAAACATAAGTATGTCGTTTTTACAGATATTGATTCATTATGCAAGAATGATTCTGAACTCACATATTCTGCTAAAGTAGAGAATAATTAATAATAATAATAATCCAAAAGCACATATAAGAACTATACATGTATAAATACATAAATATGCAAATATAGCTTTTAACTACACATAAAAATAATAAAGAAATCCTAATTTTGTTTCACTGTACAGTATTTTCCTAGTATGAAACTGAACATGTTCCATATGTGCATTAAGTTTTTTTTAATTAAAATTCTGACACACAATTATTTTAGAAATGGATGAAAAACCTCTTTGACAAATACATGCCTTAAAAAATTTTATTCGGCTTTAAAACATCTATACTATAACTAATATTCGACTATTCAATGTGTGTAAGGTGCTGAGATGAACACGCTCCTTTGAACGTAAATTTCACGCGCATGCGCAGTAGGTATATTTTCCAGTTTGTTAAGCTACAAGCCAGCTAGACAAGTGTAAGCTAGCAAAGATAAATTAGACAAAGAAACCCTGTGAAGAGACTGACTGAAACAGAGTGCAAAGTGACGGACGTTGAAGGGAGCAAACGTATTACAAAGCTATATGCGTCATTCGATATATATGGGGGTGTAAAATTGAAAGGTACGCCACCGTCGCGTCTTTTTAAACTTTTTGTGAGCAGCCAGTGCAGAGATTAGCCCAGGCTAGTTGCTAGTTAGCTGATGTTTTTTTTTTCTCCTCCATTAACGTGAGGGGGTTTGCGTTAGCTTGCTCAGCTAGCATCCTGCCACAAGGATCAGTGAAAGGCCTTTGTTTTACACCGGGTACTGCGGAGTGTAAACGTAACGTTACCAATTTTAATAGGATGTTTTTTGGCTCGTAAATAAGACCTGATATAAATGTTTGTCTACCAGCCTGGCGATACGTGAATAGATTTGACGCTACAACATATCACTGCTCATAGGGTGGAAAGGCAAAAGTGGATATAATCTTGCTGGTGTTAGCTTAGGTTAGCCTAAAACGTATCGCCAATTAAACAATGAGCTTTATGTTTTGTTTCTCTTTGTTAAATGGTTTTTACTTACACGGGTGTAAATGTTTAATCAACATAAAYCATGCAGCGATGGATACTTAGAAATTACAGCTCAGTTAAGCTCTTGTTTCGCTTGGATTTTTCCATCCTTTGTCGCAGTCGTTTACATCCTAAATAACGATTATCGTAAGCTGTAGCTCAAAATAAATGCAATACTTTTACTCTAAGCTTTGTTAAAGTAGCTATTAAGCCTCCTGGTCGTTTCACATGATTTGTAATATCATAGGCGTTGTTGCACAACTACAGCTAATGTGTCGTCCCAACAAAGTTGCCTGTGATTGTGAATAATTTCCAGTCAACTAATCTGATTGACTTGTGGTTGTCACTTCATATCAATGTCAAATATATTTGCATAGTAAATTTACAAACAAACGAGTGGAGCAAAGTRTTTTGAAGGTACAAGATGAAAATACAATCAACAAACAAAGGCCTAAAATATTAAAGATAAATAGGTGTTTTGTTTTCTAATTGAATAAAACAGCAGAGATGGGCCTTAGGAAAAGATTTAATAGTCTACAGTCCAAGTACTGCTTAAATGAAGAGGTAAACATTTAATAGAGCTACTGCAAAAGCTCAACACCTTTTGTGATTTAATTTTTTGGACCTATTATTTAGGTTAAGTTGGTTGTTGACTGGAGTGCTCTTACTGGTTTGTGGGTTAAGATCAGTTAAATAGGTGGGGCAAAAACATTCATAATTGTAAAGGCAAGCAAGAAAAGGTTCATTGTGGAAACACAAAGGATGGAGGTAGAGAATTGCCATGACTGTTTATTTGTTTACACTTTTTTTCATGTCAGCTAAAAGATGAGCTGCTGCCTTGAACGTTTTGTAAACAATGTAGAAACGATTGGTATCGATCATCACACAGAGTATTACTGTATGTCCACCGCTGTTAAAATGATTTAAGTCTATGTCCTTTTGCTACACTTTTAGGGAAATGCTGCTTTAAAAGTATGCATGTATGTTATACCCTAAGTAGGAACACTTTTTTTTTTTTTACAAAATTCAAAAGGCGTCATGTTGTAAAAGGTTAACTTGAAATCTATAAATCTTATCAAGTTAAGAGTGGTGAGAAAATATATATAGTAAAGTCTGAACACTTGCAAACAATAGTGAAATATTTCACTTAAACACTAAAATGGTTTATGAATTGACATAAACATAAGTACATTTTACAATAAAATTGTTGATGTTTTGATTGTCACCATTGTTTGGTTTTAGATAATAAGCTTACGAGATTCATTTTTGTTCAAGTTGGTAAACCTTATGTTTAATGTTTATGCTTCTTTTGTTTAGAGGGTTACATGAAGATGGCATCATGAAGGACTCTGTGATTACATAAAAAACTCCCACCTCTAAACATTTCAAGAATTCTAGAGGTGATAAATATTTTTATATTAATTTCTGATGCTGCATGACATAAATGTATTATTTAAACTAATGAGGTAAGATGTACAATATAGTGTGAAACCCCAGCTTGTGATCTTAATACTTTTTTTTGCAATTTATAGTAATTTAATATGAAATACAAACATTAAATGTCTCTCTGTCATTAATTAGGCATTAGTGTAATTCAGGTTATGAGGTCTTAGTTAAATTGCATTATTAAATATACAACCTTGTAAATTTGCCATATTTTTGTGTAAATACCTGTTCACCTCATAAGTTGGTTGTAGGAAAATTTGAAGTTTTCTGTGTARTGTTTCCAGCTGAAACATTAAGGTAGAGCTAATGTGTCCTTTCTGTGATGAGCTACAGGAAGTTTGGGGAAATGATCAGTTTGTGAGAAGACCTCTGTAAATGCTGACTTGTTATTGTCAGGTTTAAAAATTTGTCACAAAACACCTTTTAAATATCAGAATTTAAGCTGAATTAATAACACATTATTTTGCTGCTCTGACAGTAGTTTGTGGTGTTTTTAATTTATAGATTTTCTCTCAGAAATCTATTTTTGTATTATGTCTAGAAAGGAGGTTTTTTTTAATTGAGTCTCTCTACTTAAAAAATAACTTAGGGATTTTGGTAATTATGGCCAATTTATTTAATTGAATTTGTAGATTTACTTCATTGTTTTGCCCTGAGTGCAGAAAGGTACATCAGTCTGCCCTTATTTTACTATTTTTGCTTTCACCTTTAGAATTTTAGGTCAACTCCCAAACCATTTAGGTGAAACAGTAAAGTTTCATCAAAAAGAAAAATGTCCTCTGGATGGGTTCTTTTTTAACGATGTAAAGTTTGATGAAATAATCTGCAGATTAGGACACATTTTTCACTTGCATCAGGCCCAGTTCATCCTGCTTTGTGTTTTCTGTCTTTATCAGATATGTATGTTTATGGTTATGGCTAATAGGAAGCTGTTTTTCTTTGCTTTTGAAAATAAAAGTTGAACATATTTATTGTTTTACACACTTTTTTATTGTTTCACAAAGTGTTTTGGAAAGTTGCCATTATTGGTTGATATGGACTGAAGTGTGACATTAGTGCTGTGAGAGCAATTTAAGCTGCATAAGATGAGATTGTATATGATTGCTCATAGGAAAAACAGATGTATCCAGGAAGTTGAAACAATAATCCAATGCCAAGTCAACATTTACATTGTTCCATAAGTTTGAAATGTAAAGTCACAGAGACAAGTTGGTATTTCATCATGCATAAAGATATTTTTCTTCTTTGGTAGGTACTGTTTTTTTTTAACTACGTAAGTAAAAAAAAAGTACAAAGGCAAACATTTGCATTACCGTTTTTTTATAAAATTGTGTAATCTTAAGAAGTCACTTTGCTGCCTCTTTTATTTTGTTAACCTCGTAACAAGGTTTGGTCAGGTATTATAAGATTCATATTGTAGTACAGTATTTATCTTGATCATTTTAAAGAAGAAATGAGGCTTGTAAATAGTTTAATCAAATTGTTTTGTCAAGCAGGCTGCATGTTGGGAAGGAAATTAATCCTGTGTGATTATGTGCAAAAATAACATAATTTTTCTTTTAGAACTTCTAGTGTTTTAAGGACGTGGGTGAGTGGTACCTTTAAGCCAGTGATGTCACGGGTTCCCACCCCCCCTCCTCCTGGGGAGATGTCAAGTGGACCTGTGGCAGAGAGCTGGTGTTACACACAGGTATGGACACACATAAACACACTGAACCTTGTTCTRTATGTTGATAGAAGTGGTCTTATTACATTGTGAATGTTTAGATCTGATAGAGCACTTTTTATTATGAGCTCAAAATAACCTATTGTTATGAAAACCTTGACCTGGTATTTCCGTTTCAACTGGTACGTCTTTCCCCTCCCAACTATTTCCAACAATTTGTTGTGTTAGATAATTGCTGAAAGGAAAACATAGCAAATAACTGATTGCACAACTTTGAGTGTGTTTGTTTTTATTGTCTAGCATGAAGCTGAGCAGTTTCAGTGTTTATGTTGCTAGATCCTGTTCTTACTTAGGTCCAGCAAGGACTGGTTTGATTGTTTTTACAGCCACTGGCTACTTTATTAGGTAAACTTGCTAGTGCTGGGTTGAACCTCCTTCAGAACTGCTTTCATTCTTTGTGACATAGCTTAAGCGAAGCATTCCTCAGACATTTGGTCTATAGTGACATGACCGCATCATACAATTGCTGCAGATTCGTCAGCTGTATGTCCATGACACAAATTTACTATTCCACCAACTCGATTGGATTAAGATCTGGTGGCTGTGGAGACCACTGGAGTCATCAAAGAGTGATTGTGTCTCTTATAATCTCATAATTTCTTGTTTTTAGCTTACTGGAGTGGGATCTATTGTTTTTCTGCTGCTGTCGTCCATTTATTTCAGATTTTCATCGTATTTTTTATACCTTTTGTTGTAATAAGTGGTCATTTGCATTTACATTGTGACTGATAATGTCAAAGGATTAAAAAAGGAGAGATAAATTTAACAGTGAGCTTAAGTTTATTTGTCACTCCWTTATTTTACTTCTGCTTCAAGCTTTTAATGCTCTTTTTTGTTGTTGTTGATCTTCAAAACACCACTACAAGGCCATTRGGTTTATGGCTGTGTACTCCTGCCTGGAAACAAATTGGTGAAACTGTAGAACCAGGTTTTCAGGGCTGAACCAAGTGCCATGCTAGTCAAAACCAAAAGTGACCAAAAAAGTATTAATATAACTTTTGTGSGAAAACTCTTAGTGAGTTTGTCTACTCTGTCGAGTTGTTTTGATGTCTCAAATGAAATGTATAGTTCTATTTAGTAAAGTATTGGCTCTGAAATCAAACCTGTTGGAGGAGTACTTATGTGATGTGTTAAAATGTGACAAAATTAAAGTCAAAATGTTTCCTTTGTTTGTTGTTTTCAAGGTCAAAGTTGTGAAGTTTTCCTACATGTGGACCATAAACAACTTTAGTTTTTGCCGAGAAGAAATGGGAGAGGTGTTGAAGAGTTCCACCTTCTCTTCCGGCCCTAATGATAAAATGAAGTGGTCAGTACTCAGTTTCAACTGTTTGATGATAAAGCTTTCTTCGACATTGGGATTTTTTTTAATTTTTAAATAAAACAAAAAATACAGCTAGGATTGTTTTGCTAATGCTAACATAACTGATTTGCTGTGTTCTCCGTTCACTTGCCAGGTGTTTGCGAGTCAATCCAAAAGGACTTGATGATGAAAGCAAAGATTATTTGTCACTGTATTTACTACTTGTTAGTTGTCCAAAAAGTGAAGTGAGAGCAAAGTTTAAATTTTCCTTGCTGAATGCTAAAAGAGAAGAAACGAAAGCAATGGGTAAGTACAAGCAACATCAAATATTATTTGGTTTTTTTTTTCTTGTTTATCTTATTAACCGTGCAATTCAGACAAGTTARCTTATTTTAAGTCTCAACGTTATTTTTTTTCTCCTGGTTGCAGAAAGCCAAAGAGCATATAGATTTGTCCAAGGCAAAGACTGGGGCTTCAAAAAATTTATACGGAGRGATTTTCTTCTTGATGAAGCTAATGGACTCCTACCTGATGACAAGCTCACCCTGTTTTGTGAGGTAAATTTCTATTTTCTGTATTTCTTGTAATGAATAGGAATTGCATTTTTTAAAACGCCCTTATGCTTCTCTAAACAAAGTCACACTTCCCTCACTCATTTGCATGTCTGTAATGTTTGACTGGGAACACTGTGCTTAAAGTCAGACTGATGCTTTCAAGGTGTGTCTGTTTATTTTGTTGTTCTCTTTTTCTTGAARAATTGTGTACCATTAAATAAATAAAGCTCTGAGTTGCTTTTGTCTTGCTTGAGGAAAAACTGACTAGTATTTCTTGGTGTGTGTGTGTGTGTGTGTGTGTGTGTGTGTGTGTGTGTGTGTGTGT